CTGGCTATGATTCCTTATTAAAACGCAAAGAAGCCGAGTTCAGAAGAGCAAAGGTTTGCAAGATAGCTGCTCTGATAGCAGCGGCAGCTTGTACGGTCATTCTGGTCATTGTAGTTCCCATTTGTACAATGAAATCCTGAACCTGTGGACAGAGCCGTGACTCCCAGCTGTGTGCATCTCGGATAGCTCATGCTGTGTTTCAAACGTCTGATGGCAGAACTGTAAGGAATTTGCTAAGGAAGAATGTTCCGAGGATAATCCTGATGGAGAATGCAGTAAACATAGTAAAACACAACTAGGGAAACATTTTTTGTTTTGAGTTTGATTTTAAATAACAGACTGGTGGAGTTAATGGGAACTCGGTTCAATTTTTATGCATTTTTAAAAGTGCAATATCTTTTTTTTTTCCTACAGAAACAATATAATGTTTTACAGAATCAGAGACTGATGAGAATCCAGGCAAAAGAGGAAGGTTGTCTGAGCTATGTTGCATTTAACGGAGGTGTGGGTACAAGGAGGTAGCACTGTATAGAAGGGAATGTTCTATATGCATTACATCGGGGAGCTAGGGAAGTCTTAAAGCTCTCTACAATGTAGAAAACTCTGAATGTATTGTATTTATTTTATAGTATTTATGTATTTCATGATCATTTGATTGAAAGCAGAATGTGTAGCCATGAACAGAGTTCGTTCCTATGTTCAGATTAAAAAAGGGCTCTTTGTATTTGGTCTTGCCCTAAGACCCACTCTATCATCACTGAGTACTTGGATAAGTGCAATGTGCTGCAGACCAAAAAGATTATGTTTAAAGCAATCACAAGAGGTTTTAGTTGCTTCTGTTGAATAACATTTGCATAGAGCTGGCAAACTTGCCTTGCCAAAAGGGTATTCTTTACCTCCGCAGACAGTGAAATTGTCTCAGCTTCACTCCTGCCAGCAAGCAAAGCTGGCAAATCAAAGCAACGCTTGGTTAAAGTTCTTGGAAATGTAATCTGAACAGTTATAATTTTTTTCACAAAGTCTTTGTGCCTTTTTAGACTGTAGATTAAATAGAACTGTTTAATTTTGCTATTTTAAGCCCATAACATAAATCACTGCATAATGGGTACTAATGGAGGTTCTTTTCCCGCAAGCCTTCTATACAGTTCAGAGTGCTCCTCAAACAGCAGGGCTGGTGGTTGCTGAGCACTTACATTAAGGGCACAATTTTTCAGCACTAGTGCAAACTTGCTATTAATGCAATGCATTCAGCATGGGAAGATCTGCTTCCCTCTTGCTAATGTACTTAAGAATGATGGTTGACTTTACCGGACATCAAGCAGCCTGTATCCCATGGGAAATGTCCATTTGATGCTTCATCCCAAATGCAAATAGCAGGTTCAAAGGAATTCTCAAGCTGTGACAGAAATTACCTGCTATGGTTAGTGAAAGCAGATACACAGACAGTATTATTCTTCTGTCAAGCATAGATGAAAACAAAAAAATGAATTAAAAAAAAAATATATATTTTCAGGAGATAACATGATCTTGCTGGTCCTGTAAGGGAAAAGAGATTCTTTTAGTGAATGTTTTTTATGTAGGGTAGTTTGTTTTCTTTAGAAGCAGCCTCCCTATGCGATGACACAGCAGCTAGGAAAGCATCGGATGCTCGTTCCTCCCTCTTGCTCTTTGTTTCTGGCTGGTTTATAAAAAGTAGCGAGGAAAGCGAAGGCTTTGTTGTGACTTTAGAAGTGTGTCAGTTCTTTCCTGCAGCTGGAGAGCTGTTTATGCGCTGCTCATATGCTGTGTTTGATTTAAGGGTAGGTGATCCTCATTGGTCTATCAGAAAAACAAGTGTAAGCACAAGGTTGGGTGTCCCATCAGCAAATACAGAGCAAGGAGAAACCCCTAGACCAAAATCTGCCCCTTCCTGGCCCGAATCCTGATTCAAATTCTGCGTCTTTGGCCCATTCCTAACACCAAGATTATTTCTCTTTCCTCCCAGATGCTGCAGGATAGAGTCACAGCAGGGAGCGAGCAGTTCACACTTGTCTATTTTAAGCTGCCTTTGGTTATGGTGTGATTCAGAGCACCTGAGTTTAGGAGCTCAGGATCCATGTGTAGTAAATATAGACAGGTAGAGAAATGTCTCTGGGGATGATGTGGAGATGCCAGCAAGATATCTAATATTAGACATGTGAATATGCTCTGGAGCGCATTGCTCTGCAGTTTATCTTATGCACAATTTAGGTTGATAATATATGTAAAAAAATCTATTCCTGGTTCCAGCTAACATCAGAAAATCCTTCTACACCTCTTCCCTGGCCTGGCGACAGCAAGCACAAGGGACTGCAGGAAAGAGCAGCGTGCCCTGTGTTGGCACAGTCCCAGTCCCTTGTCTGCCAGTGCCAGCAGTGACAATTCCCTTGGAGGGGCAGGGTGAATGTGGGACACTGGGCAGCACCCCCACCTTCACCAATCCCCCTCTGCTAGCATAAGCAGTCTGATCCCGCATCCCCCAACCTGAAAGCAGCAGCGTTTCCTCGGCTGCATCTCAGAAATCTGATTTTAGAGAATATCTGAATGTCTAAGCGGAGATGTGAGAAGGGTGCCCTGGATGTTATTGATTGCTGGGGCAGGCTGGGGTTGTGCTTGCACTGATGCATTAGGATGTAATGACCCCTGTTTTGTCTGTGCAGGGATTTTTCTTTTGTCTGTGCAAGACTCATCCAGTTGGCACCAGATGAGTTCTTTACATTAGAGGTTCCCAAAATCCTGGGAAGAATTTGGCAGGTTATGGAGCTATGGGTGATGTGGAGCTGGCCTAACCCAAGCACTCAGCATCCAAAGCATCCATGCTGCTCTTAATTTATCAAGGTGCTTTTGCCCATCTTACTTTGCACAAGCAGCCAGTGGCACCCACCTCCATCAGGGCAGTGTTTTCCCTATGTGCCATACAGTGATTTGTCATGCATCTCCCTCTTGGGGCTTGATCTCCACAGTGCCAGAAGCCCAAGGGGAATGGGGAAATCAGAGCCTGGCTCCTTGCCTCCCTGCTCCAAGAATACCTCTGTGAGCCACTGCTTGCCTTCTCCACTCCCTGTCTGCCTCTGGCACCACGGGGATGTGCATCCCCAGCCATTCCCAGTGGGTTCTGTATCTGGCACAGAGCTGTTCACTTAAAAATAGGTAAAGACATGGAGCAGTGGGATGCTGCTGCCAGAGGAGAGCAGCCTGGGAAGGAGGGACCCACGGCTCTGCACAGAGTATACAAGCTAGGGGAAATCCTGACAATATTAACCTGCAAGAATATTGTGATCAACCTTGTGAACCAGTTACCAACTAGAATATACTGTATACTATATGATAGACTTTTGTATTAAAAAGAAATAAACAAATTAAAGCTATAGGTACATTGTAATCCTTGGTGTGATTGAAAAAAGTGTCCTAGATTGTATTACTTAATTAAAATAATGATGAGCATATTGAACTGTTTTTCGTATTTATGCCTTATGAACTTGATATATTACACATGATAAAATGAAACGACAAGAATTAGAAAATAGATATTCCATTTTTGGGGGCAAATCCCATTTGCTTTTCTTAAAACAAGAGTGCTGCTTGAACTGAGCTCAATAAACAATGTATGCAGAAGAGCAGGAGCAGGATCTGTCCCCAAATAACTTTTTAGGATTTTTTTTTTATTGGGGCTTTGGTTAATGTACTATGTAATAATTTTATTTTATAACATTACTGTACAACATTGCCTTTTGGTTCATTTAAATATAATACCAAATAAACTTGAACATTTCAGCATCCTAAGTTTTAATGGAACTGTTATAATAATTTATTACTCTACTGCTTTTCTTCTTTCTTTTTTTTTCCCAGGGACATCAAGATAGCCATGGGATGCGAGTATCTCAGTGTTAAATAACTAAGCAACCTATCTAGTTCCTGGCAGAATTGTTAATGGATTTCTCACTTGTGAAATAATAAGATGGCAGAAGATAATGAAAAATGAGTTTGTTTGGTTTCTTTTACAAGCTCCTTTGCTTGTCTGGGCTTCTGGGAGATTAGCTCTTGACACTAATCATAATATTTTATTTTATAGGTTATTTCATGACTGGGTTTTGCCATATCAACTGTTTTAACAAGGTCATGACTAATATTTTTGTATCTATTTCACTTACATGTTTATGCAACCACTGTCCCTTTTAAGTCAGTACTTTATATAACTATTTGTAGTCACCTACCAAAAGGTAATCAGTCTGCTTAGGATATCTTTATTAATACAGTTTGCTGGTTTTGACTCATTAATTGCAAAACCATGTTGTTGTAAAATTCCAAGTGTTGAAACAAAGATAATGCTGAGTCTACCACTAAAGGTAATCCAGTGTCAGAGGTTGCAAAAGACAGTCTTAGAAGAGGACCTACATAAATAGTCAGCAATGCCATGAAAACATAGTAACCTAAGGTTTTGGTTCCTTCATCTCTACTGCAGAAGCACCTTTAATGCACTGGTTTAGCAATCATGGTCAGGATGGGGTAGTGCCAAATGCCCTCAGCAGGGTGAAGTCACCAGCTCCAGCCTTGGGTATTCGCATATTGTGAGTTGGGCTGCAAACCATCACAGGTCCCCTTGGGAGGGACTGTGATTCACAGTTTAGTGTTGGTTTCAGTTTTGGGGATGGTGGCATGATTTTGCATCAGTTTCAGGGTTTTACCCGTCAAGTCCAGAAGCTTACAGGTGTCCTTACATTACAGAAGAAATCCAGCAGCAGAAATTTTCATAAAGATGCTAAGTGTAACCAGGCTCATGACAAAAAACCCTAAGCACTGGTACAGAATTCCTCAGTCAGAAAGCTGGATATGCAGGATATGTGGACCTCATCTGAGCCATCACTGTGCTGGAAGATGGGGCAGCTGCAGGTTTCTACAGTAGCTGCTGGATAGAGTCACTTGAGTCTCATGAAACACTGAAACGGCAACCAGGATCCAGTCCCACGATCACTGCGCTTCTTTGAATGTATTGCTCACAGCAATCAATTGTACTGGTTGAATAAATTCTTTATTTCAGATCTAGCTTTGATGAATGGCTCTGCCTAATGCACAGAAGAGTCAAAAGCAATATACTGGATCTTGAAGCCATATTCTGTCCTCTGAGGTGCTACAGTGACTTCATCCCATCGAATCTACATATGGAAGAGGAAAAAGTAGCCAGTAGTCTGCCCATAGCAGCGTGGTCCTATTGAAAGAAAAGGTCATTTGTGTTGGTGTGCACTTTGGGGTAAGACAAGCACCCGTGGAAGTTATGAAGATGAGTTACTTTCTTTCATCTCATTTTTAATTTATCTTTTCAGGAAAGAGTTCTATATCTTGTAAAGTGCTACTCTGCCAGTAGCTCTGCAGCAAGCTTCATCACTTCAGATTGCATCTGAGACCATGGACCACTCCATATCTTGCAGGCTGTTATGTGAATCTGTGACATTCACTTAGAAACAGGAGCAAAATCTTCAACAAAGGAAGAAGTGTCCTGTCAGCAGTCAAACTCCTCACATAAGTAAGTTCCATTTAGTTTTATTTGTTTTCTGCAATGTAGCACAAACTATGTCTAGAAGAGCCACAAAGCTCTTCCAAAAGCAACAGGACATCGTTCCCAAGAGTCTGAGGTTTTCAAAGAAATTAGTTAATGGTCCTGGATTAGCACAGCACAAGAAAGCAGTTGTGCTTGGCCTATGCATGGTACCACTACACATCAGTTGTCCTGGATGCAGGTGCAGAAGATGTGCAGAGCTTTCTTCCTTGCCAGGGAAGTTGTCCACAAGGCTTAATACAGTTTAGGGTGGGGGAAATGCTAGACATCTGGAGACATGGTTGCTGTTGAGGCTGGAGGCTTTTAGAAATGAAGAGCTTTATAGCAGCAATTACCCATCCCCTGCTCTGCTTCTCCCTGTCCTCCTGCACCCTGGAACTGTGGATTTTGGGATATTCCTTTGAGGCACTAAGCAGGTCTCTGGACATATGGTGCAAGCTCAGATCTTATCCTTTCTCAAAGTTAAACAGCTTTCCTCAGAAAATAGAGGGAATTTTCTGCTTTGACATTGATGCTTTGACCTCAGCTAAAAAAACTGCCTTGAGATCTGAGATCTCTGTGTCTCACTGGTGGGGTTGACAGCACTGTAAGAAATGTGACCTGGCCCTTCCTCTCATCTATCCCAACCCTGGAAATGGCAGGTTATGAAGATGACTCCCATATGCTTTCATGTTGAGCTTTGTGGAGGTAGCATTTCCAGGACAGACTCTGCAACCAGAGGATTCAAAACTGATTTCATTTATTAAGGCTGAAAATAAATCAGTGAAGTCCTTGGGTAAGAACATGCAGTTCTGATTGCTGGTGCTTCATGTAAAATGTCAAATTCTACTACTCACAGCAAAATTGCTCTTTTTTTCCATGCTTATTTTGAGCCTGTATGTGGTGAGCTGCCTGCATGTTGTCCCTCAGCACGTGGTGTGACTCCAGCCTGTGTCCACAACAGCGGGTGTCCCCTGGAAGGGAGGAAAAGAGGGAATTACATATGGTAAAACAGCCCTACCTGGGAGAGGGACTAGAGAAATGCTAATTATTCTGCCTGTCCTGGAAACGATGGGAAGTCTGGTCCCTGTTGAAAACCTTTGCTGTAAACTCTGCTTTAGCACCAGCCAAATCTCTGCTTGTATTGAAAAATCCTTCTGATTTGCTGTCCTGCAGGGCTGACATGCTTACTGTAACAAAACAAATCTGTGCTGCACTGTGTGTTTGTCCCCAAGTAATAGTGGGGGGAGAGGGGAGAACCAAAGAGGCTGAGTCATTTGTCTTCTTTCCCTGTCTTGGTAATGAAATATTGCTGTTAAACTCTGCCCTGCCTTTCCTGTTACTAATTTATTTTTTTTTTCTTTTTTCCAATGGTTACCTTTTAAAAGGTTTGTAAAATTGCATTACTGAAATTTATGACTGTGTAGCAATATGTGCCCATGCATTAATTCTCTTCAAGGCCAACGTCTTGTAGCTGCAAAATTAATGTTATGGCGCAGCTTCTCGCATGGCTAATGGCTGTTCAATAATGTAGGGCTCACATTTTGCTCAGCTTATGGCACTTAATTCCTTGAAATAATTCTGCCTGGAAGAGTTTGCCAGGTAATGGTTAAAAAAAGGCACGTGCAGAACACGCGGATATGTATTTTAATGCATTTTTGTTTATGCAATTAGAGGCTTGAAAATCTTGGCCTTGTGAATTGGTTCAGTTGGCTTTCAACTTCTTTGAATGGCATTTAGTTGAAAGGTTCAAAACCAGATGTGTCTGAATGCAGTGGACTAAAAATGTGCCCCTTAATCATGACTGGTCTGGAGAGGCTGAATTTGATGTTGGTGTTACCCTGGGAGTTACACCCTGTGCTCTTTGGAATGAGTGAACAATAGCAGTTCAGTAAATTATGAATTAATTGATGTTATCTATGTTTAGATTTACATTTTCTTACTAAGCAAAAAGAAAAAAGCCACTTTCTACTAGAAGGGTGGATTAGTATTTGTAGCCTCTTTACCAACTGAAATGTGATATTCCAGGTTAAAGACAGATATAACAATGCAAAGCAGATAACCTGACGAGGGTTTGCTTGTATTCTGGTTGAAAAGAAGAGGTTGGAGGAATATTTTGAAAGTGCCGAGACAGGAATTTAGATGGTGTCTGACAGTGCTTGTTTTCTTCTTCAAAGCTTTGTCTGACAGCCAGAAGAAAACTCAGTGCTTATGATCTACCTTGTACTATAGACTTGTGTCTGGGATATCGTACATGCAAGATCATTGTTCTTAAAGGTAAAACCTTGGGACTCAAAAGGAATGTATGAAGTGTTGAGCAGCTGAGATGTAGTGGAGCTCGAGGGCAGGGGAATGCCTGGTGATTAAGTCCAAGTTACACTATGCATGAGCCCACTGGTCTCACAGGGTGGCCTCCAACCACACCAGACCCTGGCTTTACATCAAGTGATCTCTTGTCAAAGTGCTCAGTGACAGCAGCCTGCAAAGATGTGGTAGAGAGCAAAAATATCCCTGTATGTATGGGAGCACCTTTTGTCTCAGGCTTTTGGGGGAACAGTGACATCTTTTCCTCTCTGCTGGAAGACATGAGCTGACAAAAGTAAGGCATCCCTGGGATGGAGAAACCAGAGCAGGAGGAAAGATAATCTCATGTGAAAGCTCTCAAGGCATTACTGTATGTCTTCTGTGTTTTGGAACCAGTCACTTGATCTCTGCAGGCTTTAGTTTCATGCCAGTTATTCACTGTGTCTCCAGGCTTTTTCCTGGAACAGAGCTTTCCCCTTGCTGTGTGGTTGTGAGGTGCTGAGGAAAAGACATGGGCTGAGACATCTTACAAGCATTGTCTTGATATTTATAATGGCATTACCAGTATCATAAGCAGTTACAGCCAGATCAGTCATCAAATTTGAATCTCTGTTGGTAATCAGTGACACAACACCTGGGAGGTATTTGGCTTAGTCTGTGTAAGAGTTTTGGTATTATTGCAGTAATGAATGTCACCAGAAAAGCTTTTTGGGGAGTATAGGAGGAAAGAGAAAAGCAGGGAAAGCATGATGCTGTGCTGGGATCGCAGCATGGGGAGAGCAGGATTAGTGCTGCAGGAGATGGGCAGACAGCGAGCATCTGCTGTGGGCCACCAGGATCAGAGCACAGCAGGAATGAGAATTCTTGGACCAGTTATCAAGGAATTGGGAAACTCCAGGATACTGTACTCATGGGGGATTTTTACTACCCAGACATCTGCTGGGTAACAAATGCAGCTCATCATGGCGATAATGTACAGCCCTAATTCACTATAAATCCTCTCCCATATGTTTAGAATTGTATTTACAGTAGGAAGAGAAGGATAGTTATTCATGAATAAAGGTGAACTCAGTTGCTGGTGCAGAGTCAGTCATATACTGTGGAAAATAATGTACGACAGACTTGAACAGAATCCCTCTGAAAGCATGGCTGTATTTTAGGTATTTTCAAGTGTTGCTGCAGTTACTGATTGCTTTTAAATGCACCGATTGAACTCCTTATATCTCCGTAACTTTTGCTGGCCTAGAAGCATGAGTTCAGAAGTGGAGCTAATGAAGAATTTTCCTCAGGATGAAATATGCCTCCTTGAAACCAATTCTGCTGATGAGGAGGTTGAAAAGGTTTAAGACAAAAACTAAGAAAGGAACCATAAGGGCTGCTTAACTCCCCGGTAGCACATGAAAGTATGTTGTTTTATTGATATACTTCTCTGGCCTTTCTTCAGTTGCGGCAATAATTTTGCCATCTAACTCACCGTGGACCTAGAAGATCACTGTGACCTTAAATATATCTAATATTGAGGCAAGAAGGAGATGTCCCAGCCACCAGAGTTCAGGGCTAAGCACAGTTACTTATGAATTATGGTGCCTTTTCCTGCCGTTCAGCAGTTCCCTGCTCCCTGGCTGTGCTTGGCCCTGTGCTGCCTCATTGTCAGCATGAGTTTGTTTCAGTAAGGATGCTCTATACTGAGCTCTGGCTTCGGCCACTCAGTGCCCGGGGATTTGCATAATGTCATTACTGCTTATTCTTCAATTACAATCTTTGAATATGCAAATCTGTCAATGCTGGTTACTGTAATCCCTCTGCCCTGGCTGGTCCCCAGCTGGGGAAGTATTTGAGCTGTTTGCTGGCAACAAGGGTTTTCGTGTTGGTTTCCCATTTCCAGCTGTGGGTGAAGGGGAAAACCCCTTGATCAGCTGCCTGAAACAGATGGAGAGCAAAAAGCAAAGAGAAACTCTGTGAAATTCAGAAAAAAGAAATGTCCTTTTTTAAAAGAACTCGAATGCCTTTTCCCAGTGATTTTCCTTGCAGGAGCTCACATTCATTCTGGTGATGAGAGGTGGAATGGGTCGCCTTGCTCCATCCCACCCACTGCAGCAGGGGTTTGTCCTTGCAGTAACTGTCCCATGTTTCTGTCTTCCCTGGCTGCTTCCCATTTGAAATACGGTTTCAAAGTGAAAGAGCTGAAATGACAACCAACAGTTTGGAAGAAGGCTGTCTGTCCACTGCTTGTGTCCAGGGAGTGGAGTATCTAGGTGGATTTGAAACGAACACTGTGCATGGGAACATGTCCCATGTCAGTATGTGTTAATGGATATTATCTATTTCAGGAAAAAGAGGAAAACCCAGGTAAATGTAGAACCAGTGATTTACAGGAATCAACACCATTGCAGTACTAAATGCAGACAGACAAGCAGCATATTTGTTGCTGATGGCACTGTTACCTTGGATAATAAAGCCATTTCATAACTATTTGTCTGTGTCTTGAGCTTCCACACATTTTGTCTCAAAGTTTTTCATTTCTAATGAGGTTTCGTATCCTGGATATTTTACTCAGATCAACAAAAAAGGTTTGAAATCCATTTGTTAAGAGTCGTCATTGCCATGTATTAGTACATTCTGTTCTCACATCAGTTTCTTCTGTTCTCAGGATCTTCCCCTGCCACATGTAGAGGAAGACACCTGCAAGTAAAGATGTATGTTGTATCAGGGCCTGCTGCTGAAAATGTCTTGAGTGCTCCAGAGCTCTGTTTTCATGCCACACTTGCCAAAAGGTTGTCATGCTTCTCTCCTGACAGATTAGTATCAACTGAAACATTTGGAGAGCAATTGTACTTCATGTGGTTTTGACCCTTTAAGTCATTTTGGAGGTGTTCATCTTACTTTCACTACCTGCATTTCTGCTGTACAATAGAAGTAATGGAAAAAAAAAATAACCAGAGAACATACTTTTAATGTCACTCTATTATAAAGTAGTACTCCAGAATTATTTTTCACTGAGTACAAATGAACTGTGTCTTTCTCAGTGAACTGTAATCATGAAAGAGTATCCTGGGAACTGAAGAGCTATGCTTATGGCAAGTAAAGGACAGCATTTCATGTATTATTTTATCATCATGTATCTCTAATCTGGAAGAATTCCTCTACAAACTTTAGGAATAAGAGGGTAATCTAGTGCCTGGTTTTATTTAGTATTTGGCTTGTCTGCTGGAACCAATGGGAAGAGATGAGTTTATGATGTTGATATTTTCAGGAAGCTGAGACTCTTAAAGCATATGAAGTGTCAAGGTTACAGGAATCAACTCTTTCTATTTCAGAAATAGTGCAGGTAAAATGTAACCATTCAAAAACACTGCAAAGAAGGAACATGCTGCCATTTTTATGGTGCAGAGCAATATGGCAATGTAAAAGCAAGAACCAGTCCAGTAAAGGGAGAAGAGTGTCCCACGTCTCAAGTATTGTCTTGACTCAGCTTCCCTGTAGTCAAAAACAGTAGTCACTGTAAGACTTGCAGTGCATTAATCAGAGAGGTTTTCCTGCACATTGTCAGTCTGTGAAGCTGTCCAACCTCCCTGTCTGAAGTTTGTTCTATTCAAGTTTTCTCCATTAACAGTGGGTTATCTTTACTCCTATCAGTTTGCCGTAGGTTGTAACCGGTTGAAGTGAATGAAATTCTCAAAGAATAAGTTCTGCTGCAATGATTCCTTTTACTTAAATACCTGATCAAGTGAAAATTCTGCTTCTGAAAAACTAGAACAAGAACAAAATCTGTCAACTTGTTAGATGCCCTCAGTGACTGTATGTAGTCTTACTAGAGACTTTGACCACATCTTCCTTCATTTCTTTTCATGCTACTTACAGAGTAACTCTATGTAAAAATGGAGTGCATGATTTACTTTAACCAAGGAAAGACAAATCCATTCTGAAGGTGGGAGATGGCCAGTTTCTGGGTTTGAGTTGTGTGTAGGTTTTGAATTATTTTGGAGCAGTTCTTTTGGGGGGATGCTGAAAATGACTCACAGTGGGGCCACACAAGAGAGCACCATTGTGCTCGTTATCCGCTCTAATGCTATAATGAAATGGAAAAGACTGTAATGAAATGGAAGTCGCCTCCTGCACTCAAGTTTCACCGTTTCAGAATTGGAGGTGAGCTTTCCCCCAAATTGTATGGCATAATGGGTATCTCTGTGCTATCCCTCCAACCAGCCCCGTCTGCATGCCTGCATTTTGAAGTTCTTATGGGCCAGGAGCCGTACGCTGAAGCAGGACAGTCTTCTCCAGGGCAGCTGTGGTGGTTACTGAGGGAATTCAGCCTTTATTTAGCCCATAAGATATGGCTCCCACCACTGCTGAATTGTAGGTACTGCTCAGTTACTGTTCTGCGAGTGCTGCACTACATTGCAGTATTTCAGGAGGAAAAGTGGAGAATGACTTTTCCATCTGAAGCTATATGAGGGGATTCAGCCAGCCAGCATGTAATTACCCTAGCTGGAGCAAGGCCAAGGGAGAGGATCTGTGGCTCTCCATCTGCAGGCTTAATTTTCAGCACTTCAAATGAGGGATTGCACAGAACACATCAAAATTAATGGAACAAACTTAATTTCTGTCTGGACATCTCCTCCATCATGCCCACATTAGACACAAATAACTCGCCAGTATGGTGTACCATGCAATGCCCTTCAGTGGCTCAGTTTACAAACCCAAATTGAAAGAGCAGCTGGAGGCAAGGAGCCTTTCCCCTTCATTCAGGTGAGTTGTGCAGTGGGTAATGAAAATGCTATTGTTTTCCAAACTGGGCAAAATGGGTTATTCAGGCAAATAAATTCTGCTTGTGACTCTTCCTTTCACAATAGAAACCATGGCCCTAATCCAGTAAAGCCCTTTATTATGTGCTTAACTGGAAATTTGTGAGTGGGCCTGCTGATTGCAAGGGATCAGCTCTCGTGCTTAAAGTTAAATACGAGGAGCAGGAGCTGGCAGGTGGGTGGATGTGCGGTGTGATTGCCCAGGGGCCAGGCCTTATTATCTATGATTATACGGGCTTAGAGTTTGGCTGGATCCGGGCCCATTTGAACAAAGAAGCGGGATTAGCAGGCGTGCAAATAGGGAGCAAAGCCAGAGGGTTCCAGCAGTGTTGAACACAACTTTGTTACTGTGACAGAATGCATAAAAGTGAATGAAAAGGCTGTATGATTGCTATTGCCATCCTGTTAATTAGGCTGAACTCATGCTTCATTAGTGCTACAATATGCTTCCATCTTAACAAAGCCCTGTTGGGTGTACGGAACCACTTTACTATTAGTAAAATGAAACCTTATCAGAAAGCCCTGCAATTCATTTCATAAGACAAGTCATGACATATATTGTGTTGAAATTGCACCAAAGAGACAGATTACTTGCTTAACACTTGCTATTCCTAATGAACAGGAACATATGTTTTCAAAACTGAGTTATTTATTGCATTAGGAGCTCTTCTGACCTCATGCCTAATTACATTGCATAGTCCTTTATCAGTGGTTCAAGTAGTTCCTAAATAACACAAATTGAACTGAGCTGCTTTTGCTCATTCACATTCTCTCAGTGGCACTGTGGAAATACCATCAAGTCCTAAAACCCTTGTTTCTTGCTGTCATTGTGGGGAAGAGAGCTTTGTGTATAACCAGGACAATATCCCTGCAGCAGGAATGCAGCAAAACCACTAGCACAATCCACATTCCCATATTCCCTGCTTGCAGCAATACAAAGCAGTGCTGATTGAGCAGCACAGTGAAAACTTGACACACACGCAAGAAATGATGTGTACTGCTCACTCACTGTCCCCAAGAAAACACTGTGCTCCCCTGACACTGCCCTACTGCCGATAGAGTGTGTAGTAGTGCAACGGTAGATGCCGACCTGGCAGTGATTTTTCTATGGACTCACTGTGCTGGGAAGGGAGTTTGAATGAAATCAGGGCACAGGTCCACATTGGCTTCAACTGCAGAGCTGCCTTCAGTCAGTCTGGCCCCACCAGACATCCCCACTTTCTTAGTGATGTTAGTCAGTTTCTGTGACTGCCTTCAAAACCAGATTTCTGCAGATTAGAATACACCAGGACTAACACACATACAAATATCCCAAAGAGTTTTGGCTGACTTTGGTTGTTTGACCCATCCATCTAGCATAGCATACAGCAGCTCTGCAGTGCCGTTGGTGCTGTGGGAATAATCGGTTGTGGGTTGTGAGAGAGAACAAATAGGTGAGAAAGTGGATATAGGGAGGAGTGACTTTAACGGATCTATTACTGAGGGTAAAAAGAAACTAGCTGTGTTCACAAAGGTATGAATGTGAGGCTGAATAATTTCCCAGCCTCTGTAACTAATTGCCAGTGGCTGTTGGGGATTTGGGGACAGGTTGTGTTTTGTGCTCCAGGGATTGTCTCACACGACTCTCTTCTACAGGCTGAAGTCAAATGGCAAATGTTGGCTTTGCTTCAGTACAGCAGGGTGAATACCACGGTGTTCCCTCACCTTCCCTGGAAAGTCCTGGTTTGATGGATCCCTTCTGAGGCCCCCAGTGGCAGCACTGCACTCTACCACAGCTGAAAGCAGATGTGTCCAGCAGAGTAGGTCATGTGTGGTGGTTAGATTCAAGTCCATCCTAGCTCTCAGCTCTTCCTACCTGAATGATCTGGATTTGCTATTACTAGTGGTAAGCTCAGGGGAGGGAGAAAAGTAGCCAGATCTGTTTGTTTTCATGTATCCTCCTTGTACCATTCTTTAGCCTTACAGAAAACATCTGTGCTTACTCATGTCCTCCTACAGTACACCTAAAAATATCTCCCTTCCTCCACTTCCAATACTATACTTTGGACAACTGAAATGACCCTGTGTGAGAGGGTCTTAAGAGCACAGTCTAATGGAGAAAAAAATGTGAATAGGTGTCGTGGTTTAAACCCAGTCAGGTAACTTGTTCACTCACTCCTCCCCCTTCTTTCCCTGCCCCTGCTCCCGGAGGG